AAATAAAAGAATAGTATGCTGGGTGTGTGGATTTAAATTACTTGACACATTTCCACATGCAGGGTGGGTAAACTGAAGCAGGCAGCAGTGGATGGTAGTAGCTGGCATTCACCCTTGCCTGCAACCAAGACCTTTTTGAATGCAGTTCCATTAAGAAGCCAACTCCTAAATGCTGGAGAGAGCCCTGCTAGAAACTGGTCCTGGCTCTGTAATGCTAATTCCTCCCAGCATTAGTGGAATGACATTCGGTAATCGTTTGAATTGCTGGGAAAAGAGCTGGTAAGGGGCCAGAACTGAGTTTTAAAAAAAACATCAGAATATCTTTGGTGTGTCTTGCTCATTTTCCTGATGTTGCTCATCATCTGTGCTTATATACAAGATTATTTTTAAATGCATATATTTCATTTTTACTACCCTTTCAAAATTAATAAAACAAAATTAACCACTTCTGCACACACTGATTGTTGATTCATCAACTCTTCAGGAAAAGAAGAAATGGATTAAAAAGAAGTTCTGGAGTTTCAGAGACATAGATATGGCTGTCATTTAATTAGGGCAGAGTATATTAAACATGTCTTAAGATTTAAAAGATTTGCTTTTAAACTAATTTCTGAGTGACTTTTCTGATATTTCCCCTTTCCTGATTTGTAGCATTGTTGGATTTTAATATAAGAACAATCATTAAAAAATAAACTAGTGTTCCCTCATTTTTCTTGTTCAAGTACAATTATGATGATTACATCTTCCTTGAGCATGTAGAAAAAAACCAGCTGCCACACTATTTCTTATAATTTAGACGTTTAAGGAATCTTTTTGAAACAGGAAATACTTTAACTCTGTAGCTGAAATGTAAGCTCTGCAAGGGAATAAATTCCTGTGACATCAGACTGTATAATAATACTGTAATATCTCATTCTTAACGAAATGCACTCTTCTTTGAAAGCTTCATTGTGACTTGCTGTGTCTCCACATGGATATGGGGAATCCATGAAGAATTCCAAACTCTTTCAATCTACAACTATTTCTCATCTTTAAAAAAAAAACATTAATAGTTATTAATAGCCTGGAGACAATAATGATACTTTTTTATTCACAGATACTAAATTGAAATTTGTCGATGAAAGATAGAAAATTCTTCTTGAAGTCATATAATGTAACCCTAAACATGTTTATTCAAATATATGTCCTACCTGAATTCAGTAGGACCTCCTGCTGGAAATGTGCTTTTGTTTGTGATAATAAAAAGCAAAGCTTAAATCAATATTTATATATTGAGTTCTTCATTCTTGATTCACTAAAGAGCTATTATCTTCTATATAATTTCACAGGCATTATATCAAAAGTAATAGATTCCATTTCAGTTGCATCTTCTTCATGGCATAAATTAATCATCTATGTATTAATAATAGCTGATGACACTTGGTGTAATAGCAGCCATGAGAGGGTATTCCGATTTGTCATACTGAATTTGAGATGCTTTGACATATTTGAAATGCCTGTATGCTCAAACAGCCAATGAGATACTTTTGGGTTATTTATAGAACAACTAACAGATTTTAAGGTATGGGTTCAGTTTGCAGAGATTAGACAGAATTGTCTCTTCAAAGAACCAACTTCTCATTGGCAGTTTGTATAACTTTTACTGACCAAATAAAACTTTGAACATTCTTCCTTTTGAGATGAAGATGGCTGAGAAACAGATTAGGTATGTCCCATCCAGGATTTTAAAGATAAAGTGAGCAATGTAGGCATCAGTAGATTAAATATCAAATTAAAGACATCAAATGTTGGCTTATGGTAGTCTAAATTCTGTGTATAATGCTGAAGTGTTATCTCAAGTTTAGAAGGGGAAAAGAAATGTACAGCAAACTCCAAGATCAGCAATAATAAGGTATTCCATAAGAATCATTGCATGAAGTCTAAAAGATGTTACCTCAACTTCCTATTGATTAAACCACAAAACAAAGGACCAAAAGAAACTAGAAGCATGATTTTGTATGGATTGGAATTGGGGAGGGGGGGACAGGTTAGGAGATGAGAGTGAGCTGGTGAGCTGTAATTATAAAGTGAGTCTGAGACAACTGAGTTCTATTTTCTCTAGTTTGCCTGCTAAACTCATCAATGGAGGAGCTGCTGGGATCATTGGTGTTACTTGTATATTTCCAATTGACTTGGTTAAAACTAGGCTACAGAATCAAAGAAGTGGACAGCAAGTCTACAAAAGCATGTAAGTGACCTTTAGAAAAGTATCTTAAGCCAATACAATTTGTTTTGCAGAGATTATTTTTCAAAAGCCCTTTTAAGACTTGTCCATTTCTAAGACAGGAAGCTTCTTCAGTAGCTCAGGATTTAAATTGGGCTTTTATAATTATGAAGCTGCAATTATTACTATGTTTATAAATTGTTCAAACAGCATTTTTTATCATAGTGGATACCTATAGATGTAGGTGCAGGGGAGTAGAAATATACCATTATTAATGGAATGATTCAGTAATTACTATATGTAGTGCAAAGGCTTGATATGCTCCCTTTCATACATCAGGTTATTTGTTGTTGTTAAGCCCTAATGTCTATTCTGACAAGTATTTTAGCTGAAAGTCATTTATGAAAATGGCAAAATTAATTGCATACAGTACAATATGGATGAATATCACTGGAAAGACAAATAGATATTAAAACAATAGCTGGAATTGTCCAAACAATATCTAAAAACTTACAAATTGTTTTATTGATGTTCTGATCAGGTTGGATTGTCTAATGAAAACTTTACGTTCGGAAGGCTGTTTTGGCATGTATAGAGGCGAGTATGTTTTCCCATGTTTTATACTAGCTATAGTTAACTCAGAAATACCACTTCATGATGGTAATAATTTTGATTGGAAGATTACCACTTGTAAAGTCAGTGCAGTTCTAAATACATTTCTAATCTAGTAAGCCATATTTCCAGTACTTCTGAGTAATAGTGAATAGCATTTTATTATTTAAGGATTAAATATTGAAGCAAAGAAATGCAAAAAAAGTAGTTGCTTTTTTTAGATTTGCCAGCAGCTTAGCACTAGAGTCCAATTAAGGGGAAGAACATCTGACTGCAAGGTTTCACTTCAGATGCGGCAGGAGTAAGGAATTTGAGGCTCACCAGAAGTTGCTGAACTACCAGAAGGCCCAAGAGTAAGGAAAGGTGGAAGTTCTAATTTAGCAATATCTGAATTACTGCCCTCCAGTTGCCTATGTAACAATTGACCGGCACTTTCCAAACATTTGTCTTAGGTGTTTCTTATGCACTCAGGATTCACTCTCTTTTGAAAGAATGTTGAAATGGCCAGAGCTTTTTTTTTTTTTAATCCTCAGTAAGATTTCTCACTCTCTGAGGTCTTGGTTTCTTCTCTAACTTTCCTTCACTTCAAAAGAGGGTAATATTTTGGGTTGGGATGGTTGTAGAGAGGAAGAATAACATGTAGTTGCTTTGTACACATTCTATTGATGGCAAAAGTGGTTGCATGCATGGATTTATTCATTCATTACTTATCTTTGTACTTTTTGCACTATGGTTTGTTAATAAAGTGGAGGGACTAGAGCAAAATCAGAACTCCAGAGAAGAGAGACAAAGGAGCCTGTTTCATGGGCCTTCATAAGAATAATAGCCAGTTTATATACATTCCTTCATCTCAAGAGAATAAAAATTGGAGAGGCATGACTTCTGTATTGTAAAACAAAGGCAGATTCTGTAGACCATGCCTTTCCTGAATAAAAAAAAAAGTAGCTTTCTTTTAAAATTAGAGGAAGAACTCCAGGGAAACAGAGAAAGAAGTTGCTATACCTGAACTAGGGTGTACCATCTCCCCAAACAGCTAAAATTACTCTCAAAGGCCAGGAAAAATCCAGGGAAAATCCAGGGAAAATGAGAGAACCTTAGTATCAGCATTCAGGCGATCTTTAAGAAATAAGTAAATGTTTTAGCCAGAATCTGTGTTAAATTTAAATACTTGAGCTGAATATTCTTTATATATCTGTACAAGTTATATGATTGTATAGTCTTCAGTCTTTCGTGCATATATCTAGTTATATATGAACATTTTTTTTTCCAAATCTCTCAAGAGATTTTCCCTGAGAAATGTTTTGATAAAATTTAGAGCCTGGAACAATTGTAACAAACCATTGCAATCTTGTGGTTTGGGGTTTTTACTTCAATTTCCCAGTTGCTGTATACTGTAAACTGAGCAGTTGTATACTCTAGATTCTGCAACAGTGCATAATTGCATTTTTTAAAATCTTAAAATTAAAAAGTGATGTTTATTTTTTCTTTTTAAATAAAATCTGATTTTTCGTCAACTCTTATAAGATTAGTCTAATAATCCCGTCTCCATCCCTCCATCTTTGGGAGACCCCCAGCTCAGGCTTATGTCCCTGTTCTGTGTCCTTCTCTTGCCAACACGCACATAGAGACACAAAGGCAGACAGATAAGCTGTAATGGGAGATGGGGAAGCACTTTAATGCAGCTGTGTGGCTGTCCTAAGATCGCATTCTTACAATCATTTTCTTCTTGGTGGGCTATTTTAAATTTACTTGATGACTTATTTTAATTAAACTTTGTAGTAAAAGTTGCAGTAAATTACTAAGCATTCCTGTAAGCAAACATATTTCATGGAACTAAACCTATTTTTGGAAGTTCAGTTCATTAAATATTTAAGTTACTTTTTAAATTATTTTATCAAATTAATTACATACTTTAGAACATGAAGAAGAATCACTGATTTGAAATACAGTTAATAATATATTTCTAGTGAAATGTTGAAGGTTCTTCTTTCATTGTTTCTGCAATCATTACTTTCCTTAATTCTTTTCTTTCTACTAATGAGAACTTAGCTTTATACCAGACTGGTGCAATTTTGTTTTATGATGTAATGTAAATCATTAACTGAACAATACGATCGCTTTATTTCAATTAAACATAAGCATGTTTATTTATAGGTGCAGCAGTGAATCTGACCCTTGTAACACCTGAGAAGGCTATCAAACTGGCTGCTAATGACTATTTTAGGCACCTTCTTGGCAAGGAAGGGTATGTTATTTGAGACACTCGAGGAGTATCACTTGTATCTTACATCCGTTAAAGTCTGTGTTCATAGCTGAGCTGAGGTTTTAAAAGTTGTTTCAAGTTCTATATTTTGATAGTGCATATTTAATCTTTTTAACCTATACTACCCTGGAATACATTTTTGGATCAAGGCGTATTTTAAAAATGAATAATAAGTAAGAATAATGTAATACAACTAGTTTAATGATTCTGTAAATGCCACCAATGGGATTAGTTTTATAATCATACTCAAATGATATATTTTGAAACTAGATATGCAAGCCTAATCAAGCACAAAGTAAATGGAGGAAAAAGAGGAAAGGGAAAAGATTATACTTCTGTTCTATATATCAGGAAAGCAGTTTTTTGGGGTTTGCAACAGTGAATTAAAAACTGTTGGAAATGATACCATTTTGTAGGGGCATTGCTACTCACAGACAAGTGGCAGGATGTTTTCACCAGTGCTGATAGAAGCTCTGCTTTTATCCTCAATCATTTTCTTTTTGGACACAGAAAAATGATAGGATCTACACAGGGGTGAAGAGAGTCACAGAATAGAGAATGCAAGGGCAGGTGTACAGTGAGTGCAAACAGAGGGTCACCCCCATAGCAGGGACAGCTAGGGGGACAAACAGGCCATGCAGAGGAGCAAACAGAACCATACATACAAAATGGAGGTAAGTAAAGGGGCTGATAAAGGTGAAGAGAAGGGTTAGAGAAGATATATTTTCTCTCGGGACTTGAATCATGGCCTAATACCATCCCATTCTAAAATAAACTTCCTCCATAGACTTGTATAGAGAAGAAGAAAAATCCTTTGGCTGAAATAATTATAAACCCACCCCTACTAAGGATTTCCAATAAGGAATTAGGTTATCATCCATATCTAATGAATTTCATGCAAGAGAAAGTTTTCCTCATCTGGATGAAGATGAATGGATATATTGATTCATTCATTCACTCGCAGGACAAAGTGCCGAGCAGGAGTCTCTGCACTGTTTGGGGGTTGTACTTGGGCAACCCATGTATGATGCCAGTCCTTAGTAGCATGTCTTCATGAGTTAATGTGTCCTTGTTTCAGGAAAGACTGTAGCAATTGTTGAATAAGTCAGTGGGCTAAAAAAGAAATCCTCTTGTTTCTTCTTGTTTTTATTATGCAATGCGCTCACATGTCTCCCAGCTCAAACCATAATTACCTCAGCTCTAATATTGCTGAAACTGTTCATTGCATTTTATAAATTTTGGGTGATTTTAGTAATGATAATATATGAGTTTTAAGCTCATATTTGCAAACAGTGTGATTTCAATATCTTGTACTGGAGAATGGACAATGTCAGTGACTGAAATAAGAAGCAGCAGGGAGATGGAGAAGCAGAAAGCTCTGTCCTGCACGCAGCCAATGTGACTAATTGCAAGCTGGATAGCTTGAAGTACTGCAGATGTTGCTGAACAACTCCAGCATTTCTCCCATTTGCCAGGTTGTTAGGACTATTTGGAGCAGAAGTAAAAACATCTGAGGGGCCACAGGTTCCCTGGTAATTGTAAACATAGACATAATAGATCCCTTTGAGATAACAGTTTCAGGAAACTGCTATTCTGTTTCTGTTCTTGTATCATAATTCATTTTTTCTTTTCTCAAAGTTTCCTGTTCCCTTGGAGATAATCTATGTATCTTTTTTACACAGCCCATTCCTACTTGTGGAACTCCATGTTGTGGCATTAAAATTAATGTAAAGTAATATGATTGATAAATGTTCTGATGTTTTATTTTGTTTCCTTTCAGGGTAGCTCTGTCTTTATCTAAAGAGATGCTAGCAGGCTGTGGTGCAGGAGTTTGTCAGGTTGTTATCACCACTCCTATGGAGATGCTAAAAATCCAGCTGCAAGATGCAGGGAGACTAGGTAATATTGCCTGAAACCTCTGTCCATATGTCCTACTGACCTCTGAGAAATAAATGCATCTTCTGAGTATGTGAGATTTCACTGTAAAACTCTCACATATTGTACCATTTTACCTTGGAGGATAGCTGCAAAAAAATGTGTTCTGTACCCATCTCTCAGAATAAGACATCATTTTACTGTTTCGGCTGTGTTGAAACTATAATCCATGTCATGGTAGCTACAGTGCCGCAATCCAACCCAGAATGCTATATCACTAATAAACTAGTGAACCAAGTGGCAGGATAGCATCAGGAAATGTAGAAAATCTGCAGTGCCTTTTGTGTGGTTTGAGGGGTGGGGGGAGAGAATAGAAATGTAGTCTTAAACCTCTACTAGCAATTCACCCACATACCATGTTTCCTAAAAAAGACTATGTCATAACTGGAGATATACTCCAAAAATGATGGAGCTCAACTCCTGGATTTCCACTATATTTCCACTTTCCATTATAGTTGCAATCTAAAATCACTGTGATGGAATGGTGTTATGAAGGCTACGCTCAGGGAGATAAA